AGAGGAGATGATTCACAAGCATACACCTTGCACCATTTCGTGTTTTTTGCCGTCACATGTGCCTGTGTGCTCACTCAAACACACAGAGACTCGGCGGCTGCACCTTCACATAGTGGTATCTGTACATATGACACACCATCGCAATGTTCTCTTTGTTCTGCACACACAATACAGCAGACAGTGCAGGGGATGCGCTATGCCAGAGACGCCCAGTAGAATGAGAATGGAAAGGAATACTGCAGGCAAAAGAACAGTGGGGCTGATGGGAGAGCGGAGCCTGGCAGAGAGGCCCTCTGCAGTGGAAGCAGAATAATGGAATAGAACCAACACAACTCAGTGAAAAACAATGAAACTTAACCCTGATAGATGGGGATAAAACAACGAACTACAACACTGCCAGGCTTATTCTCAGCTCATGGATAACAAAAAGAATGCTTCTGTATAAGTAAGCCTCATATGCCTTTTGTAGTATAATGAGCAAGTTACACAGTGCAGCTGTATGAGCAGAATTTTCTGCAGTATTACTAACACTGCAGGTTGTACCATTTTTTTTTTATTGAGCCATCTGAAGCCACGAGGGCTCATATTTAACTTCTTTTTCTCCCATTCATCCTTGCATACTTTATTATCTAACATTCTTAAGCAGCAGGCAGCAGGAATTACATGAGTCAGTAGTTTTTGTCTAGATGGGTCAAAGAAATTGTCGTATGAGCTCTGTGACAAGGTGTCGGGATTGCTGAATGAGTTGTCTCGCTAACAGCTTACACTCTCTGCGGGCATGTGTAGGTGCATGAATAGATATCACTGTGCTCATATCTGTCTAAACTTGTAGTGCATCTAAATAATGATTCTGCCTACAAAGCTGGTTTGTATTGATTAGTCGTATTTAAATTCATGAGTCTACCCCATATTATCAGCAGGGCTGTGCAGACCAGAACACCACAGCCTCATTGTCTCCTGTCGAGCAAGGCTCCATATCCACTAATGGCTGTGTTTGTGTTTCAGCATAACCCACTTTCTTATAATGATCCTTTTATTAGTGTACAAGCTCAGAGCATGTCTGAGCTTCAATCCTGTATATGTGTTCATAAAGGAAGATAATTGTTAGATCTATCTTAAGCCCAGAGACAAAATATGTGCAATATGCTGTATATTGAAATGGATTAGCGTGGATTTACCTTGTAACAAAACCATTATGCTAAACAGAACAAACTTGAGACCTTAAAATGTGGGGAAAAATGGCTCTAAAGACAATTCCACAGAGCTCACATATTTACAGTGGCCTCCTTATTTGTCTAACTGTCCAATTCGCAGTGCAAAAATTGTGATACCAAATCCTTAACAAATCCATGCCTACGCTTTCATTTACAATAGGGACATTGTTCATTGATGAGACAGTAGATGAGTTTGCATTCAGAGGGTGTATTCATAATGTCTCTTGAATTTATTTTCACATTTACTGACTGTTTCTCCTACTTTTCCCATTCCTAACTGCCCATGAGCTCAATGTCTAAAGTTTCATTTTATTCTTTTAATCAGCTTTAAACAGTATAATCCCAGATTTTTTCTCTACTACTGCAGAAGATGCGAGATCACAAGTGAAGAATTGGAGGCACAATTTGAAATGCTGCAACTGGGAAGCAAGAGCAATTATATATTTAGTGACACCCTATGTGTCTGGGAATAATGGGAAGCTCTCACACTAAAACACAGTGTAATTAAGATGACGATGCTGTTTGATGTTTCTCTGTGGCTCACCCCCACTGTGTCATCTTTTTACAGTTGCTGCTCTAAACTTTTTATTGATGGTTTGTCTCTGCATTCCTTTTCCTTCTTTACTCTGCATTTGCATCTTATCTTTCCCCCTATTCCCTTTCTCCCCAGGTGGCCCGAAGCCTGATGGCTCCGCTGTCACTAGACATTGCAGGGGACCCAGACAGCGAGCGTGCGTTAGGCAAGCAGCGCCTCAGTGTAGCAATTGGTGTCCTGGCAGGAGCCGCAGCAGTCATCTTGGTTATTCTTCTGGTAGTCACAGCTCGGCAGTGTGGTGCTCAGGGTAAGAATGGCTATGAGGCCGGCAAGAAGGAGCCAGAGGAAGATTTCTTTGGTCCCACGGGGGCGCAGCCACAGGTTGGCCGTGGTGGGGGATCAGATCGTGGACGCAAGCCTCGTCGGGACAAGCGCAGTGGAAGCAGTGGGAATGGACCTGGAGGAGGAAAGTCAGACAGAGCCCTCTACAGTGGTATAGTCACAGTCAACGGACTGCGTCGCCATGCCAATGATGATGATGAAGAGGATCTGAGCAGTGCTAGTGAGCGCCTGGCAGCTCGTTACTGTGCTGTGGATGGTGACCCTGGAAGCCCGCGGATGGGCGGTGGTAGGAGGCATCAGTCAAGCCCAGATCTGGCCCGGCACTACAAATCCAGCTCGCCCCTCCCCGCAGTGAATCTTCAGCCTCACTCACCTCCAGCAGAGGGAAAGAAGCACCAGGCAGTCCAGGAGCTGCCTCCCTCTAACACCTTTGTAGGCAGTGGTGGGTGTGTGGGAAGTGCTGGTTCCAGCAGCAGCAGTAGTGGAGGCAGTGGCAATGCAGATGCCATGTCGCTGGGATCTGACCAGTGCTCAGAGTATGGCTGCCAGACTGGAAACAAGTACAGCAAACAGGTAGGCGCTCTGGATGTTGAATATTCTTTTGACTGGTCCCTCTTTACAACTCTGTCTTAAAAAACTCAGCTCTTTCTGTCTCTTTGTTTCTTTGTCCGCTGTGTGGCTCCTGATCTCCTCCTTTTCATCCCAGGCTTCATGTCTTCTTATTCACACATCTGCTGACATACTGTACTGCAAACCCTGTCGCTGATGTCTAAACACCATTTTATCTCCACAAAATAGCTGTCAGTGTGTGTGTGTGTATGCTTACGCACTTTTTTGTGTCTGTGTCAGCATACTAAGCCTATGAGCAGTGTGGCGGTAGCCTGCTGTCAGACGCGTGCGCTCCATGTCAAACATCGGCCCTCTGTTTAGCAAGATCTACTACAGGGCACATACATCAAGCTCACACTGTAGCCAAAGAGTACGTGAATGTGCATGATTGTGTGTATATGTGCGCGCGCACACGTGTTTGTATGTGACACCGTGTGTATGAACCCCTGAGGAGATCAGTCGGAGTGAAAACAGAGAGGGGTGTGGGTGAATAGTTGCTTCCAGCAGGGTAATTGGTCATTTTGTGTTTCTGTTTCCCTTGTCAAGCTGTTATCGTTCTTCCATTTAGCATATATGTTTATCCCATAAACAATATCAGTCATATAGTTAATGGATGCAATGGCTTTGGTTTTCAATCCAGGCGCTGCAGTTAAAAGCTGAATTCCTGCTGATAAATAAATGCACCATAGAGATGGTCACTCACCCCTCCACCTACACATGTATACACATTTACAAATACACAGACACAGTCACTATCTATCATCACGGCCACACTGACACAGCAGGGTCTCCGGACTCTGTAGGGAGTGCGCCCACGAGTGATATTTGAATGACAGCTAACCCTTCTTAAAGAGGCGGGCTTCTCATTTCCTTGACAGACAAGTCTACATTTATCCTCCACGTGGTGAGAAAAGTGCTGATGTGGTCATTAAAAGGGAAGGAGAGCAGCTTCTTAGGCTAATCAGTTCATACATGGGCTCTCTGATCCCGCTCAGTGCACGTGCACACACACACACACAGGAACACTCACACATATGCATACGCACACAAACTGCAGAGGTTAATCCATTACGGATTCAATCCTCTTAATCTGCCATTCCCAGGGAAAGAAAATGCTTACTGGGAGAGTTTGGTGTTCATGCTTATGTGCACTCAAAACATGCCAGAGCAGAGAGAGACTCACACAGACACACAAACTGACAGAGTAATGAATTATTGATCGGATGTGGTAATTAACTCCCATTCTGCAGTGAGGTTTGCCCCCTCCCCACCCAAGCCGACCCCCAAAATTTCCAACACCCATTGGTTTCATACACAGTGTGTGTGTGTGCTGGCTAAGATTTTGGGAGCTCATGCGTGACTTGGTTTCGCTTACATGTCAAAATTTGTTAACTCAAACAGTTTAGCGACATGAGCAGGTTTTTGTTTGTGGGTGCCTGTCACTTTGCTTGCGGTACTGCTTATTCCATGAAGGCATATGCATTTTATACATGAGTGCAAGTGAGAGATAGACTCCGGGAGTAATAGGTGGTGTGCATGTGCCAGATGTAGGATTTGCGATGCCAACAGAAATTGGAATAGAATTAGATCAGGAGTGGGTGAGAATTACAGAAGGTTAGGAGGGGGAAGAAGATGGAGTAAACGAGATGGGGCAGAACTTCTGCATTTTAAAGCTATTTTACTGGGTCAGTGAAAATATTAAAAGCTGTTCATTTGAAGTCAGCACATCATCAGACCAACTTGGATGCTCATGAATAAAGTGCAAGATTGCATCAAAGAGGAAACAAGATCACAAGACAGCTCAGTTAATAGTGTTGGTTGTTTTTATGTAAATTGTCCACTGAGGAGTAGGGAGAGAGAAAGTGGGAAAGATATCTGTATACGAATGGAAATGGTGAGGGACAAAATGGTGAAAAAAACAGAAATGTGGTCTAAATGATTAGCTATTTAACTAAATTCTACAAGAAGTGTGTGTGTCCGTGTGTGTTTGAGTTGGGGGTCGGGGGTGTGTGTCTCTAACAGTAATAGAAAAATTATAGAGGTTCAATACCAAACTTCTTCTTCTTGCTCACCACAGTTGATCAACTGCCTCCATCTCACCCTGTCTCTGACATCCTCCTCTGTCACGCCGACCCCCTTAATTTCTTTGTCCACTATATCCATGAATCTTGTCTGTCTTTTTCCTCTTTTCCTTCTGCTCAGGAGCGCCATTTTCAACATCCTTTCCCCAACATACCTACTATCCCTCCTCTGCACATGTCGAGAGCATCTCAGCCTCAGACTTTGTCTGTAAATTGATCAACCCGTGCTATCCCCCTGATATACTCATTTCTAACCTTGTCCATCCTGGTCACACCATAACATCTTCAACTCTGCCACCTCCAGCTTGGCCTCCTGTCGTTTCATCAGTCTCCAAACCATATATCATAGCAGCTCTCACTAACACCTTCCCTTTTCACTCTTGCTACTATCTTTCAGTCACAAATCATCCCTGACACTTATCTCCACCCACTCCACCCTGCCTGCACTCTCCCCTTCACCTCTCTTACATGCTGTCCAGTGCTGTGGAGGTTGGTTGAGCCCAGGTATTTAGATTTGTTTACCCTCGCCACCTCTGCTCCTTGCAACTTCACTTTTACACCTGCAGTGGACAAATTCTAAGAAAGACGATAGGAGTATGTTTCTCCAAGAAAAGAGAGGCATGGAAAGCGGGGAGTAAAGATAGAAGACAAGAGAGCGAGAGAAAGAGAGAGGCCTGGTTTGGGTGGCAGCCAGAGACTGAGAGTGGACTGCTGAGATGTGGGTCATCAGGATACCCGTTGGCATCAGGACACATTAATGATCACAGCAGTCACATGGCACTGCAGTCAATATGGGCAAAGTGGCCTTGTTCCACCCTTTAACTCCACCACACACACAAAAAAAATGCACAATTCATCACAACAAGGTTCCTCCTGTCTGTTGTCCTCAGTCACCCACAATTGAAGCTTATCAAACTTAACCGTTATGTTCCAGTTATCTTTGGTTTTCATCCTTTTTGCAGAGTGTAACTTAATCTGAAAGAGCGCTTTGAACTTTTCACTTGTTCACTTTTATCCCCTTTTAACTCTCACTCCCTCTTCCTTTCTATCAGTCTCCAACTTTCTTTGCCATATGCCAGGCTATAAATCTAAACACCCCGTCGCTGGTACCCTTGCATCTTCCATGCGCCACACTGACCTCCGAGAATAAATCGACTCAGCATTTTCACTAGTGCGACTTCTTTTACTGTAGTGTGCACTTTCTCTCTTGCTGAGCCCAGCGGGTGTGCGGGGGCGGGTGAGCGCTCGGTGCCACAAAGGCTGAATCGAACCAGTCACACATCATCTTAAACCCATGCACACACATTCAGTCCAAGTCCAATCAATGTCCTGTTAACAAGGCCAAGACTGCAGTGGAAACAGGTGGGTCGACGGTGCAGTTTTTTGCGCACTGCACATTTCTGCAACACTTGGTGAAGGTCACTGCTGGACTCTCACAACACGGGGCACTTGTATTGGCACAGCAAGGTCAGGTGAAGGGGAGTTTGTGGTGAACAGGACTCATCCGGCCAGTCTTGTCCATCTAATTGGACTGTATGGACGGGTGCGGGTGGGGAGATTAGGTCTACTGGATTATAAAATTGAAAAGCAGCTTTTCATTTCAGCAAAATCCCTCCAGGATTAAATATGATGAGCTTCTGTCACAGACTCAGATTCATGCATGCCACATGAATGCATCCGCACATACGCCCCCTGTGATAACATGCAGCGTGCATTTGGGTCGTAGAGGTGAAGGTACTGTCATCCAGAAACAAACAGAAACACACAACCACACACTGTCCCCTCCCTGTTGCTTTGTTACACACACGAATGTGCACACTGTAACCATCCCGTGACCCTTGTCATGATGATACCAGCACACTGAGGTATTTATTAAAGTCACGACGAGTTCAGGCCACTCAGCCAGCCATATGCTCAAGGGGCGAGTAGATGGGAGATGAGGAGGTGGAGGTAAGTGGGAGGTGAGAAGGACAAGGTAACCAAAGTGGGGATCACCCATTGAGCCAGACTGAAACTGATCTGCTGACCTGGCAGCAAAGCACGAGGGGAGGGGAGGTGCTGGGGTTAGAGGCAGTGGACTTGAGAGAGGAAACATGAGCCAGACTGAATGAAATGAGACAGAGTGAGAGAGGTTTAAATGATGGAAGGAGACTAAGAAAGGGTTGACCATCGCACTATCCCCTCTTAGGTGCTTGGCTGTAGATTTAGAACACTTGCTTACCCTGTAAATATTGATTTTCCGCTTGATCGAGATTGTACGAACATAAATAGTCTGCGTCTGAAAGTGCACTGAAGGTCCATTATTAAAACTCACAAACAAACTGACATTTGTAAACATCGAGAAACACGAATTTCCCTTTTATTGACAGTTTTGTCGACCTGCCATTCAGCAGTACTTTGTGGGCTCTTGGCATGAAGAGCCACAGTTGAATGGAAGTACAAAAGCATCTTCATCGCACCTTCGATTTAAGATTTAGAAGCATCAGCTGAAATTGAAAGAATAATAGTTTGTTAGTTAAATCATTTCATTCAACATTTATATTTTAAATATAGGCAACGATCAGATTTATAAATGACTCATAAATGTTTTTGTCATGTTTTTTAAGGTCACTGGACAAAATAATCCTTTACTTTTTTATTCATGTTTTTATTTATTTATTTCCATGTTTACAGTGTAGTACTGTACATAGTATAGACATATCTACAATCACAGGTTTTGATCTATCCATCTGTTTGAACTCCTCTGTTGTTAGAACAGCTACATTGATATAAATTTAACTGAAAGAAACTAAGCTCATAGACTGAATCTGACCAAACAAATCTTCAGCTGCATTGCACTCACTTCCACAGACATAACTCTGTAATACAGGGGAAAAGCCTTAG